AAAAGACTGATTTCTACTTTTCTTTTTGTTCAAAGCCTTGAATCGGAATTGGGTTTTTCCGATTTGTCCCAGAAATTCGAAATTTTACATACCAGATTATGTTTATTACTTATTAGAATTTAAAAATATGTTTATATGTTTGTCAGATTATGTTAATATGTTTATCAGGAAGTGTCGAGACCTGCTATGACCTGACAATCAAATGATATTCAAAAGAAGAATAAAAACAAAATATTTATTGTATTTTACTGAAAATACTCAAAGTAGCAAAAAGATAACAATGGTCTTCTACCTTTATAGGTGCTAGTCCTAAAACAGACATAACCTTCTTGTGTCCAACAGGGTAATATAACAATTCCATTGTCCAACCACTTTTCTTTCTTCAAGGTGGAAAATCTTCTTTTTAACTTTCTTATTAAAAATGATTAAATTATTGCAAACTAAAATGTAAATAAGCCATAAAATAACAATCACAACCCAATAAAATTAACCATACAATAGCAATCACAACCCAATAAAATTAACCATAACACTGCTACCTTTACAATACATGTATGCTACAAAAAAGGATAAAATAGGAAATAAATTAGTGCCAAAATAGCATCAGGTGGTTAAGGGGTATTTTGACCAATTTCCAAAGAGTTTATTGCAACATATCTTTGTGTATTTGAGAAACAAGGGTGTGACCACTCTGATTTTTTATTTTCTTTCTTTTGTGTGGAGACCTCCGATCTCTACTTGTTCTTAAGGTTTTGACTTGATTTGGTCATTTGAATCAAAGCATTTCTACCCTGTTTTCTGAATCTGATTATTTTCTGACTTATAACACCCATGATTTTTGGTTTTTTTAATATTTGTGTGAAAAAAGGAAAGCAAACAAGTTAAAATTATGGAAAAACCCAATTTTATTTATATAAATTACAAAATTTCTCCATGTGTTATATTAACATTACAGAAATCGTACATATGTTATATTGAATTACAATTTAATTGCAATTTCAACATTACACAAATGGGTTATATTAATTGCAATTTAATTCGTTAGACGTTACGGCTTAAGGGTCTTTTTTTCTGGTTTGTCCTGGGCATTTGAATTCTCAGGACCGGCCCTGGAGTGGACTATAAATTGGTTCATCTCATCTAAAAATAAATATTCTCTCTATATAAACAACATAATCTTATGTGTGTTTACCATTCATCGGATTCATCAATAAGACATCATTACCTGATGTGAAAAAAAAAATCATTAAATCTCCGTCCTGAAAATCAAGGGGATATCATCTTGGGCTTTTAATATTAAGGTCCTTAAGTTTGGCAAGTTTTGTCGGTTTTGTCTTTGTGATAATATTTTGTTTGTTAATGCCCAAAATTTGCCAAGCTTTATATTTATTTTTGCCCTTGTTACAAATCTTTTATGTTTTTATCCTAAGTATGTTTTCAAATTTAAAAAAAAAAAAAAAAAAAAAAACCCTTAAGTTTACAAATCTTTTATGTTTCTTTTCCCTAAGTATGTTTTTCAAATTTGACGTAAACGTCCTTAAGTTTGTCAAATTTTGTTGGTCTTGTCATTAGAAACATGTTATTACCGGTAACAAGGGAAAAAAAGTATTTGCAAACTTTGGGCATTAACAAAAAAAATTGTCACATGAACAAAACCGACAAAACTTGTCAAACTTACGGACTTTTATATCAAAAGTTGTATCATCTTCTCTAAGTAAGTGTTATTCATTTGATTTAAGATTTATCAAATTTATGTTGAATTGATCTATAATTATGCCTATAAATTCAACATGTGGTATCAGAACATAGTTTAATTTAATGATTATAAAACCATATTTTTTGTTTTGAATAAATAACGGTTTCATAAACTAAGAACAACTCTAATCATACCACTAAAAAAACACTAAATTGGTTTATTTTAACATCAAAATATTTTTCTACTCCAACCACACACTAAAAATTTACACGAAAGACATATTTTAATATTATAATATAAACTATAACAATTATTAAAATTACAAAAAAATTATAAAAACTAACTAAAATAGTATTAAACAATTCAAAAATGTGTTTTGGTGTGATGAATAATATTACACAAAATATAGAGACCACTATTCAATCACATAATTTTTATGTTAAATTTAATGGTCCACTGGAATGCATTTTCACACAAAAACACTAGTTTTGTGTATCCATTGGAGCCGGAATAAATGAAACAATGATTCCGTGTTGCCCTTGGAATTGAAAATTTGAAATCCATATCTATTTGGGTGTTTGACTTCTAATCAACAAGAAGCTTTAAAAAATGGAAATTTGATATCATAAATTACTTGCAGCTCACATATGCGTAAAGAGGTTGGTTCAATTTAAAGCAATGATACCCTCAATTTTAAATTTCTAGGTTTTGTTTGATTATATGATGCTTCAATCTTTCAAACCTTTTAAAAGGGAATAAAAAGAAGAATAATTATGTTGATGTATGTGTTCTTATTGAAATTTGATTTTGGATGCAGACCAAAGAGATTCTCCTAACTAAAAATAATGGCTTGTGAAGAAATGTGACAAAAATATTTTATGATTTGTGAATCGTTAAGGTACAAATACCCATACTCAAGATGAACCGATTTTGTTTCCATGATACATATGTTTAAATCATTATAGGAATTCCGTACAATCTATGAAGTAGACTGAAATCAAAGAACAATTAAAGTTGAAAGTAGACTGAAATCAAAAAACAATTAAAGTTGAGAATGATGAAGACTTAAATATAGAAACGATTAAATCATTTTCATTATATTAGAAAGTGGTCATTGTTTAACTCTTGAAGATACTCTTTACACATTAAGTATAACTCATAACATATTAGTTATGTCTGACTTAGCGAATGTTGGTTATACTTTTACGTTACATATAATGATGTAAATATTAGTTTCAATTAATTTTCATGTTTTTGGCTATGGTCGCGTTTGGAGGGATACCTGTATAAATTACGACCGTTCACATTCACTAACCGTTAAGATTGCACAATTCCTCTCATCTTAAATTTGCATGTCTATTAAAGAAGTCCTTATACAGTTTCAAGCAAGTTCCACACGTTTGGTGTAAAATATTTGAAAATTTTGTTTCTTTTATTGGGTTCATTCTTAGCAAATATATCCAGTTTCTTTTTATATTTTCATATGGTCTAGATGTAGCATATTTATTACTACATGTAGACCACATCGTCCTTGGCTCTTTGCTACCTTGTCCCATACCTTATGACACTCACAAATGGACCTTTTGGAAAAATAATTTGGTATGAAAGACCGTTTCATACTTTGTTATTTCTTGGGTATCATCGTTTATTGCCACCATAATGGTATGTTTCTTCACGAAACCTAATATGCAAAATATTTCAACGATTGAGCCACGATGACATCTTGTAAACCATCAATACACCTCGTTAACACAAACACTAAACTGAGTTCGTAAAATGGTGATCCTTTTCCCAGTCCCGTTTACTCTCCCTGTTGTTACTTATATTTGGCTCCATTTACAAAATCTACAAACCTGTGGTTACTTATGCACTGCAATATTTGGCTCCATGTACAAAATCTACAAACCCATCGTTACTTATGCACTGTAATATTTGGCTCCATATACAAAATCTAAAAACATGTCAAATGAATACACGTGAATACATTATCTAGTGTTTACAAAATAATCTTAAGCACGAATTACAATTATCAAAATATGTCTCATCCAATTTACTTTGTTCCACAGATGTGGTTTAGGGCAGGTGCCCAATTACTTGAACATCAACCTTCGAATATTGTATTTTCTCAATGAAAACGTTATCTCAAGGCCCTGTAAATGACAACCAACTCTTTTTTAATTAAGTACGAATGCCAAATACAATGACATTGCAAATGTCATTATCGAACCTTGTTGACTTCGCAACTTATTGCTTGAATTACATTTGCCTAAAAAAGACACTATTTTGTACAATGGCAATATAGGTGTTGTTTTCCTTAAGAAAACATAGTTAAACATCAACATATTAAACACATTGATATGGGTATACACTTCGTCCTTGAAAATGTCATGTGAGGCGATGTCCGAGATCTCTATGTACCCTCACATTACCATCTAGTCGATGTCTTCACCAAAGGGTCACCTCGAGTTCTTTTAGATAATTTTCAACATAGTCTCTACATTCATTCACCTCAAGCTTCGTCTACACATGGAAATATCATATATACCTATCAAGTCAGTTTTGTAATTAATTAGTCATTATTCATTATTGTAATCATCTAGTAATACTTTTCAACGTACTAGGTTTCTATTTTCCATATAGGGTAGTTATTTGTGTGTGTATATTGCACCCTTGATTAATGAGCGAGATCAAACGATTATAACATCTTACAATGTTATAATTGTTTATTGGTGACAATGATTGTCTTTGTTTCACATTCATCCTTTAAGTATGGAAGATATAGATGAATCAAATAAAGTATACTCGAAAGAAAAAAGATAAATCTTAAATCATTTCTTCACCATAAATAAATAAAATAAACGGCCCATGTATTCGTTTGATGAATTATCTTATATTAAAAACGTATGAATTTGAACACAATATACATTTGATCTTATAGTTTTTATGTTACTAATCTTGTGTTTAATGTAAAGGATTGATTTTAAAATCCTAAAATTTATGTTGAGTTTAAATTACTAATCTTGTTGAATGTATAATATGTTACATTTTACTATTTTAGCCTCATTCCGACGCAATCCACCCAAATGAGTCCAATTACCAAAATGAGTCCAATTCTTACTTTCATTCCTCCTATAAACAAAGAGCCCAATAACAGCCCAAGAAGAAATAAACCAGGTCCATTAAAAATGTTCAAATCCAACGATTCAAATTCAAATTTCAAAACGAATTTCGACCTTCGTGTATCCATAACGGTCATCAAATCAAATAAATGCCAGCTGTCTTCCATTTCAAATTTCAAACTTTACCCCAACTCTATTCCTAAATCCTACTCCTATATATAAAATTAAAAAAATACTCCTACTTCCTCAATCCTCAATCCCCCAATTCCCAATCCTTCTTCTTCTTCTCAATCTCCGGCAGCCTACAGACGTCTTCGTATACGTCTCCGGCGAACGCCATCCCAAAAACCAAAAAATGAGAGAGTGCATTTCAGTCCACATCGGTCAAGCCGGAATCCAGGTCGGAAACTCCTGCTGGGAGCTCTACTGTCTCGAACATGGCCTTCAGCCTGACGGACAAATGCCCGGTGACAAAACCGTCGGAGGCGGCGACGACGCCTTTAACACCTTCTTCAGCGAAACCGGCGCCGGGAAACACGTCCCTAGAGCAGTGTTTGTCGACTTGGAACCCACCGTCATCGACGAGGTCCGTACCGGTACCTACCGCCAGCTCTTCCACCCGGAGCAACTCATCAGCGGTAAAGAAGACGCCGCTAATAACTTCGCCCGGGGTCATTACACAAGTAAGTAATCTAATCATAATCAGATAACATAAAAAGATACACTTTTAGGCTTTAGCCTTCTTTTTCAAACATGTGTTTAACTCTTTGAGGCATTTCGTCGAACAGTTGGAAAGGAGATTGTGGATTTGTGTCTAGACCGGATTCGAAAGCTTGCTGATAACTGCACCGGTCTACAAGGGTTCTTGATTTTTCACGCTGTGGGAGGTGGAACCGGGTCGGGTCTCGGGTCATTGTTACTTGAGAGGTTGTCAGTCGATTACGGGAAGAAGTCAAAACTCGGGTTCACCGTTTACCCGTCGCCGCAAGTTTCAACGTCGGTGGTGGAGCCGTACAACTCGGTGCTTTCAACTCACTCACTTCTCGAACACACCGACGTTTCAGTCCTCCTCGACAACGAAGCAATCTACGATATATGTCGGAAGTCGTTGGATATTGAAAGACCGACGTACACTAACCTGAACCGGCTTGTTTCTCAGGTGATTTCTTCACTCACGGCGTCGCTCCGGTTCGACGGAGCATTGAACGTCGACGTGACGGAGTTTCAGACAAATCTTGTTCCATACCCGAGGATTCATTTCATGTTGTCTTCATACGCGCCTGTGATATCTGCAGAGAAAGCTTACCATGAACAGTTATCAGTTGCAGAGATAACCAACAGTGCGTTCGAGCCATCTTCGATGATGGCGAAGTGTGATCCACGTCATGGGAAGTACATGGCGTGTTGTTTGATGTACAGAGGCGATGTGGTTCCGAAAGATGTGAACGCCGCCGTGGCCACCATTAAAACGAAGAGGACGATTCAGTTTGTGGATTGGTGTCCGACGGGGTTTAAGTGTGGGATTAATTATCAGCCGCCTACGGTGGTTCCTGGTGGTGATTTGGCGAAGGTTCAGAGAGCTGTGTGTATGATTTCGAATTCTACTAGTGTTGCGGAGGTGTTTTCGAGGATTGATCATAAGTTTGATTTGATGTATGCGAAGAGAGCTTTTGTGCATTGGTATGTTGGTGAGGGAATGGAGGAAGGTGAGTTTTCGGAAGCTAGAGAGGATTTGGCTGCTCTTGAGAAGGATTATGAGGAAGTTGGTCTTGAATCTGCTGATAATGAGGAAGACGATGGTGATGAGTATTAGATAGTTTTTGGTGCCCTAATTGTGAAATCCAATGGACTCATTGGTTTTGATCGGAATTAAATTTTCATTTGTAGTGTCTTCCTTTTATCATTAATGAAAATTGCAACTAGAACTGCAAATTTATTCTCAATTACATGCATCTTTCTTCCTAAAACTTGAAAACTAACATGATGATAAGAGAGAGGCGCTTCAATTTACAGATATGCTCTGCTCCCTTCTACGTCCTTATTTAGCTTAATTTAACCCTATCACTACTTATCTTCGCTGCTCTGCAATCTCCACCTGGAATTGGCAAAAACTAATTATATCAATGATTGCAGAAAGCATTGGTGAATTTCAATTTCAGATTGTGTAGATAATTACAGAAAGCTTCGAGTGATTGTGTACAAAACTTGTTAATTAGGGTAAAATAAGGGAAAATAACATTTTGTCGCTAAATTCAGTTACGATTGATAAAAAACGAGAGTGTAGCATGAAGAACAAATACACGCACCTTGCCGCTTAAAGGTGAAGCAGCTCTGGAGAAAATCACAACATCCACGAGATGATGACCGGAGCTTGAAACATTAGCGATTAAACACTGGCCGATATCCTCTCCTAGATGTGAATCCTCCGCTCTAATTCTCTCTATCTGGTTACGAATCCGACGGCCAATAACATCAACGTTGACGTCCTTCACCGCCGCCGGCCACTTCCTGACCTTGGAGACCACCGATTTCGGAGAAGAGGTTTCCATATCTTCCGACGACGATCCGTAACTTTCCGAATCTGTCACAAACTCGTCAAACACCTTCGACATCGACGTTTTCCGATTATCATTTCTTCTGATATCTCCTGTAACTGTAGATTTCTTTATTGTAGTCATGGCGATCAAGGTAAGTCGACGATTAGGTGTATTAGTCTATTAGAGTAGTCTGAATATGGCGAAAGCTCAAAGTAAGTCGACGATTATCTGTATGTGTATGCCATATGGGTATTTATAGGGTGGGGTTAAAAGGAGGACACGTGTTCGTGGTCGAAGTTTGAACAGGTAAAATGACATAAAGAACGTATGGGAATGGAAAATGTTGAAGGGTGACTAACCGCACCAACTGAATGCCGTTGGCTTTCGGCTTTCTTGAGCCACGTTGCGTGGGGCACTTGGCCAGTTGGCCTTTGCCTTGGCCATATATTTCTGGATTTGTTTTTTTAAATGACAATTATATTATTTTACAAATTAAAAGGCAAATTATAAAAAAACTATGCATAAAAAGCATGGCGAATAAAGAAAATAATTCACATAAATTATTTTTGACTAATATTACACAATCATATATGTTGATGTCGAAAAATTTACTCATATAATGTTTAACAATTTGTTTTTTTTTTAAATTACATGTACGATATTAGTAAAACGGGTTTACTCATAAACTTTTATCATCGTATTAACGTTCTGAATTGTTATATTATGTGATCTTTTCAGTGCAATATTGCTGTTAATTGTAGAATGTTAAACTCAATGTCGTTTTCTTAATACATTTAATCATAATCTTTCGTTTTGATAAACTCTAATGGTTGTTATTCTTAATCACTTTACAACAAGAATCAAATAGGGTGAAAAACTTGCGAACATTTGTTTATGCATATTGAGTAAGTTATTCTTATTGATTTGAAATCACTATATTTGTATTTTTGTTGTAAATAAATTGTTATATGAAGAATATCAAACACTAGTAAGTAAGTAAGTAAGCATACTGAGATGCCAATGGCATGGTGGTAATATGGTGCACTCCTCATGGCGTGCACACCACCCCTCAACGACATGGAGATGATGACTAATGAGGCAGTCTATGGCGTGGCATTACCTATACCTTACCACACGACTTTCTTCTTTTTTCTCCGAACCCCGTTTCTATGGTGGAGAAAAGATGATGATATGGTCATGCTTCTATCGTGTATATAGAAAAAATGGATACACATGTATAGAAAAAATGAAATTGACTATGAGATAGTTTATTATTATTATATATATATATATATATATATATATATATATATATATATAGTGTTAGCTTTAAATGATGTTATGTAATAAGTACTATATAGCAACATTATCGAGGTTTATAAAGGTTTAAACCAAAGTTTGCAAAATCGAGATTCTACATAGAATCGTTTTTTGGTTTGCAAAATTATGATCGTAAAATCGAATCGAAATCGTAAGATTCTACCAAAACAATGTAATTATAAGTTTAAAACATTCAAAATATAACTTCATCCATCAGTTGACTGTCCACAAATTCTAGAAAGTTCAAAACATTTGTGATGGATAATACATATCATTTCTAATCTAATCTAAAATAACAAAGGAATCATCCATATCATTTCTCTCTTCTAAATCAAAATCCTCTTCTTCTTCAATATTTCTTCTTCTTTTCTCTCTTCATCGTCATGATTATAAGATTCATGTAATGTCATCGAAACTTACTGATTTAGTGTTTCAAGTCCTGTTATCTGATGCTCTTTTCTTTTCTTTTCTTCTCTTCTCGTCAACTTCAAGTTGTATGTCATTTACACAAGATCGTTCATCCTCTGTTGATGTAGCCGATTTCTTCTCTTAGAATGTACCTAAACAAAAAATAAAGGAATACTTAGATAATAATATAATAAATTAGCATTAAAGCAATAATGTTGACAATTATAAGTTACCATCTTGAAATCACTCCAATACCTCTCACAACTAAATGAGGCACATGTCAAACTCAACATTCTTATGGAAAAATCTCCAAACTCGAATGTCTCAGCTCCATATGAATCCCACCAATCAACTGAACTCTTTTCTTCCCCTGTATTCTTGGCTACTTTAAGGCCAAAGAGCCCTCTTGCATTGGTGAATTGATCAAATTGAAAGTTAATCCTCGTTGCTAGGTTTTCATTAGGGCACATTCTTTCAAGACACATATATAATCCAGTCTTGATGCAAGCTGGATTCTCAAAATCAGGGCTATATTGCATCATTAGATTCAAGAAATAACTTGTCATATGGAGTGCCCTATTTAGTTGACTATACCATCTCTGATCAATGATTTCAAAAATAGGTTTGTACCTAAAATATATATATACAAACAAGAAATATGATATTATTATATATTAAGATCTAAAAATATATACTATCCTCAATAGCCTTTCCCGCATCGACTTTTGCATAATTTGTAGTTGACCATTGTCCACCAATGCTAAACAAATGGTTCCTTTCGAACTACTTACAAGAAGATTACAAATTGAGCGATTCTTTCTATCACTCCACCCATCACTCATCAATGTGTAACCCGTTATTTTCCATTCATTTTTATAGTCTTTCAAGTAAAGTCTTGGTGTATTCAACTTATTTTTTCAACAACAAAACTCGTATTTCATGGTAAGAAGACGGATTAAGCCCTCTCCCAAATTCGTCAACCATTTGGATTATCTTATGAAACCTGGTATTGTTTACACAATTAAAAGGTATTGCACTTGTGTAAAGAATTTCGCAATTTGTTAGCAAACTCTTTCTCTTTCGTCTTTCTTGAATATCGAATTCAATGCGTTTTGAACACCCTTCCCCTTCTTTGTAACTTTTTTTTTGCATATTTTCTCTATTATTCTTTTCATAGGTATCTTCATCTTCATCTATTACAAATGCACCTCTTTTTTTAACGCCGCATTATTTTCTTCCAACAAACCAACAAATTGAACTCTTAACATTTTCGGGGACCTTTTGACAAGGTGCGACATTGTCTCTTGTTCGTGCTAAGTGATGTTTCAATCGGTAGATACCACCACTAAATGTTGAATTACAATGTATACACATCACTTTCTTGTCACCCACTTCCTTACCATGCTCCCAACCAATATTCGTTCTAGATGCAGAAGTATTTTTTCTCATCCATTTACTACTTGTACTTGATGGTGCAGAAGTAGTTGAAGGTATTGATCCATAACTATTGTTCATCATAGATGTTAAGATGTAAGAACTAAGAAAAATAAGAAACTAAATAGGCAAAAGCAACTGATTATAATCTGATTTCAAATCTATGAACAATCTAATTTTAAAGCTAAAAGTTACAAGCTAATGACAATATGAGAAACTCATACAAAGAACCTGGTTCAAGCCTTTAAAGTAGCCAAAGTGCATAAAAAACACAATTTGATATGATTAAAAGAATCTGATGAAGTGCCATAAATCACTAATTTCTATTTGAACTTTTAAGAACCTGATCATATAGGGCAACCAAACAAAGTGCATTAAGAACAAAAATCCAAGCTTTTAAGTTCTAACTTCTCACACACATTGAAATATAAAGAACAAAACTCCGACTTAAACTTCAACTACATTAAACTATTAAATTGATAGCAGATAGTAGTTAAGCACAATGCTTTTTGAACAAACCAGAACAACTTGAGTATTAACAAGAAAATATTAAGATGACAGCGAACAAAATTTTAGTTCATGGTGCAACAGTTCACAAACTATGATCAAAGTATCAGAATTTATCTGGAATGTTATGAATGCCTTTATGGAAGCAAAATAGTACCATAATGTGTAACTGATCATCAAACTATTAAATTGATAGCAGATAACAGTCTAGCACATTGCTTTTTGAAGCTTTTTTAAAACTTCAACAGTTCAACTACAATAATCATTGCTTATTGAAGCTTTATTGAAGCTTTTTTTTGAAGCTTTTAACAACATAAAATAGAAGATACTGAGAGACATTCACAATTTCACATATGACATACTTGTAATCGTGTTTTGAAGTTCGCAGATCCATGGAGCCGTGAAACAGTGAACAATGAAAACTCACACCAGTCTTAAGCCGTGAATAGTTGAGGTTGAGACGTAGAGCAATTGATGGCTTGAGGTACTACAACTTCAATCTTGCTGGAGAATTTTGATGTTGAGGCAGAATTTAGTTAATCATAGTTGAAGGGGGAGAGAAATTAAAGTTATACTCATTTAATTGGAGTCAAAAGAGAAGGGTAGGTGGTCAAGAGGTCAAGTTCAAGTGGTCAACATGTCAATTAATCAACATAGGTAGAATTGGAACGCTTACTTTATGATTCCACGATCCGATTTTACGATTCTACCACGATTCAACCTAAAAACGAGTTTGCTAAGATCATAATCAAAATACGAATGTTGGATCGTAGAATCGTGCGTTTGTACGACAAAAGTCATGTTTTTGATAACCTTGGTTTAAACAAACCATTTCACTATTAAATTCATTAGTTAATATATTTGTTAGAGTAAGTTACACAAATGGTCTCTATAATTTGAGGTCATTGTATGTTTGGTCCCTCAATCTTTTTTAACTTGGATGATCCTTAACTTTTGGTTTAGTTGCGTCTTTGGTCCCTTCCAGACATGAAAATACTATTTTTGTCCTTATTATTATTTTTAGACAAAACTGCAAATATGGTCCATGTGGTTTGCATTTTTTCAGGAAACATGTCCAAAAGTTTGGATGAATGGTCCTTTTCACAATTATAAAAATAAGAGTAAAGATCAACCAGGTATATAAGAGACGTTGTTCTTTCAAACTTTCTTTCTCTCTCTCTCTCTCTCTCTCTCTCTCTCTCTCTCTCTCTCGTTTCTCTTTCACTCTTTTGCGGGCGTTTCCTTCACCAAATCACTTGTCGGAGTTCACCAAAACAAATCTTTGGAGTTCACCAAAGACATTCGGTAACAAAAACAGACATGCATGACCCACCCCCACAACTCTTACCCGCCTCAATACAACCCATCAAAACCTCTTAAATCACCATGGTTAGATCTCAACAACGATATAATGGAGTTCAACAAAGACACTGGGGATTTTGGGTCTCTGACCATTTTTGTTTCAATCACAATAACTAATTAAACATTAGTGATTTCTAATTTTAATCTCGATGTCTTTCATTTCAAACACAAATGTG